TCTTGTAAAGTTATAACTTTCGGATTTCACTGGCACAGTACAATAAACAGTTACAACGATTTTTTATTCAAAAGACGAAATTTTATTGGAAATAAACCTTAATTGCTGTAGAGCATTGTGCAATGTTTCATCCATGTTAGAAGTTGGTTTCACAACAGGCTTTGCCATTTGAGCTCGTATTTCTCGCATACGTTCTTTACGCGCCACAATCGCAGCCAATTTCTCACTGCAATGAAAAAAAATTAGACATTCAAAATATATAATGCACACCACAAAATTATGGATGATGAAATTTATTGGTATATTAAAAGTAAAATTCATCTGCAATCGTTTATGAGCTAAAAATAAATCACTAAATTTACAATTTATCTAAAAAAGTGTAAACATTATAAAATTTTAACAAATAAGTATAAGAGACCGTATGGATGAGTTTATCATATTAGATTGTTCTTCAAGCTGCTTCTGGTGTTGTCCACGTTTTTTCTTGCCTTTTCTCTTCTTTTTCCCTGAGGTCTCTCCAGCCCCTACATTGGTTCCTTTTGCAGTTTGACCTTGCTGTCCAACATTGTCATGCTTACCATCCAAAATAGGTGGAATTCGCTCTGCTGGCGCTAGGTCTTCAGGTACTGGTGGTCCGCTGTCATTCTCTAGCTCCGCATTTTGCTAACAATAAAAAAATCATACCTTTTTCTACTTCATTAATTTGTTCATTCCCAGCTGTCAAGTTAAGATTGTCTAATTATCAGCTTGGAAAAATATTTTACAAAATTTTAGTACTAGCTATCAGTGCTGTATGTATAAACTATAAATGTTAATTTGATTGCACTTAATACTTTCTACAGTATACCGATAATTTAAAGAGAAATTCTAAAATTTTGAAAAAAATAAATTACAGGTTGTACTAGAATTTATTTCAATTCAGTATAGTGTTCCACACTTCCAAACATCAACTAGAAAACAGAAAGTGAAAATTAATTTTCAGTCAAATTACCTCAGTGCTTGCTAATTATTCTTTTCATTACTTTAAAAAATTTATAAATCTCAACATTACTGTTAAAACGAAAGATTACTTTTTGTTTAGCTTTCAATTTAGCTCGCAATTTTGCTTCAGTAATCGATTTTGGTTCCGGTTGCACCTCGAGAACGATATCCGGTTCGGATGCAGAACCTGGGCCTAATTTTATGCCTCGACGAAGGGCTTCACGGTGAAGTCGCTTCAATTCATTTCGCTTTTTTTCTACTTGCTTCAGCTCTGATGCGACTGGAAAAGATCAATATTTAAGTAATTTTCATATATATATATATATA